TGTAAAATGAATCGAATTTATTAAATTCAGTTTAGAATTTGACCTAATAATGGAGTTTTTAAGTGCAACACTTTAGTTAGCTCATAAATTAATATAATTTACAAACAGAATGTAATTAAGACTAACTAGAATTTAAGCAGCACTTAACAGATATACAAAATGATATTCAATTCATTGCTTTTGTGGCGAAAGCGGAGCTGAAAAACTATCAACAGCACGCTGCTAGTTTTAATTTATTTATTTGTCTATAGTTTAATTTGCAAAAAAACATAAAATTTATGCAAAAGAATTTAAGATATAACATAGTATAACTTAAAATAAAATTCAAAATGTGAAATAATTAAAAGAGTGAGATACGATTAGAGGTTGTTAGAATCAAGTTGCAAGTATATTGGAGAAGAAAAAGCCTTAATGGAGCATTCGAAGAATATGTGATTAGATAAAAGATTATAATTGGTGCACAACACAATATAAAATAGTTAAATCTACAAATTGGCAATCGAAGGGCACGAAATGTACGAGTAAATCTCAATGGAAATGCCAAGTCTGAAAGACTAAGAAGAAAAGGGGAACACTGGCAGGAAGTTTGGGAAGAAGGGTAACTTTCTGAACAAATGTTACGGCTATGTGGTGAAGGTAGATATATTAATTCAATTATTTCCATCTGCCCCGCCATATTATGATTTTAAATTTGCGCCAATCATGCTACTTTATCAATCATATTTCAGATTCGAAAGGGTAAAATAAAGTTAATTTATCTGAAACTTTTAAAGCGCAACACGTGATGCCACACATTTTGTCACTGAACTTGATGAAATGGCTATGTTTGTCTAAGTCTTGACAATGTCAACAAAGTCCGAGTGATAAAACGCATTAAAATGTGGGCATTAAAATGATATGCTAATTCAACACTTCAGTCGCGGTTGTTATGATAGAATGTAGTGTGCCTAATCAAATTATGACGTGTTAAGCTGAACTAGTTTAACTTTTCATTTGATGGCTTAAACCAGTTTTGCGGCTTATTGACCGTCAAAAGTGGGCCTATATGTCTGCCAATACGCTGAACGTTGCGTGCCTAAATGTCGGAAATAAGTTTTCCCAACGATGACTCAAACGATTTCAGTTCAGTATTCGTGGGGTCTGGTCTCTAGTATTTCTAATGTAAAATGGGAAAATCCCAATTACCCAACGAGGCAAAAGTCAACTTAATCGGAGTATGTTAGTAGGCTTAACTTTTTATTATGGGCCTTGAACACAATAGAAAACTAACAATTTTACTGAGCATGGAACAAGTCGGAAACTAGATCGGGCATTTGTTGCTGATTTTCTTTTCAGTCCACAACGGTATGTAACTAAAAGTTTAAATAAAACTGCTTTGCAAGTTGAGCCACAGATGATATTTATGGCAGTTCTATTACTTAAAGCGCTTTCCAACACATGTAATTAGCTTTCTTTGGACATTTCTTAGCACTTTTACGTAATGTACGATAGAAACTTATTAATTAAAAACATTAATCAACACTCTCATGTTGTACCAGATACAACTTAGAATTTGGTCAGCATAATGGAAATTACCTAATTATAATTAATAAGTACTTAAACACTTTTTCAACGACTCTTATGCGAATATTTGAAATATACGTGCCTAGCCTTTAAAGGCGTCGTTTGCAATAAAATGAATAGTAACTTTCGATTATAAACAAAACTCAACTTCACACATATTTGATTTAGATTCTATTAACAGAACATTATAAATAATGTTAATGATGCATTGTAATTTAGAAGCGAGTTGAAACATATATTTTCAGTTGCAGTTTCAAAGGTTTCCTATTTATTTTGCAACCCTAAATGAATCGTCAATATTATGTTTTAAGATATACTTTATGTTCATTTAGTAGAAATTATATTGTGTGTGTGACATAAGTTTATTATTATTTCAAAATTTTTGCTTAATTTCCACATTTATTTATTTTCATTTCAGATCTATTTTTAAAGGCTTTTTTTTTTAATTTTTCAAGACTAAATGAATCATCAATATTATTTTCATTCAAATTTTAACAAAAAAATTTGCTGATAAGTTTGTACGATTCTTTTATCAGTTTAGGTTATAAGACCTTATCTACCTAGTTAGTTATAAGGTGGGTTTTTACAATTTATGAAATGAACGGAAAGCTTTAAATATGCAACAAAGTCGGGGGAAAATTATTTTAAAAACCCATGAGTAGTTTATTTAAACGTCAATATTATGTTTGAAGAAATATATATTCATTTAAATTATATTGTGATAGCGGTTTATAAATATTTTAAAATATTTGCTTAGTTTGCACTTTAAAAACGATTATCGATTGTGGAAGAAAAAGTCATCATTTCCGAGTTCCTGAGGATAGTTCTTTAAAGCCTACGATTCGAAATTGTAGCCCAGAGCCGATTTCTTAACACAAGCTCCTGCTTTATCGTATTTAATTGAGTTGCACAACAGAGCCAATTATAATTTAGAATTATTTTAAAATGTTTGTTTAATTTGCACTTTTAAAACACAGCCTAACATAATTATGGATTGGGAAATAAAAAGTCATCATTTTCGAGTTGCTGAGGATAGTTCTTTAAAGCCTAAATTGGGAAATTGTAGCCCAGAGCCGGTTTCTTAACACAAGCTCCTGCTTTGGGGGCATTATCGTGTTTAATTGTGTTGCACAACAGCACCAGCATATATAAGTACAACTGTTTATAGCCCGAATACAAATGCTGTGATTACACAGAGAACCCAAAGGAACAGTTTCGATTAATTAAATGGCTTGTATAACTTCACCTCGGGGCTGGTTGGCAGACAATGTACGAGTACTCGTACGTACGATGATAAAATGGCCCACTTTGTATTCTCGGAATGGCAGCCAGTTAGTATTGTAATAACTTTAAATAATGTTTGGCAAAAAATGCAAGAGGAAGAGAACGAGAGAGGGAGAGGGAGAAAGGGCAAGCGCAACCGCGATAAGTAACATTCATGAAACGACACAGCTATGACAGTTTTATGCGTCAAGTCAAGCACTCATAAAGTTTATGCGACAATGTTTGAAAGCGTTGAGAACCCAATGCGGCATAACAGCGCCGTGCTGCATTGATTCAACAGCCACTTGACAACACTGGCAGGACAGCAGGGCACAAGGGCCAGAGCCAAAGCCATGACAGAGCAGAGTGGGTCAGAGGCCACTTATTTTGCATGTGCATTGCACACTTTCGTGTTTTTGTTAAATTTTCCTGCTGTTATCGGGCCATTGCGGGTGTCCTTTGGCTTTCTGGTTGCTAGTGCTGTTGTTGTTGTTGTTGTAGTTGCCTTTTACCGTGCGCCCAATTCCGGCAATGGTACCACTAATCGATTCGCCAGCTACCTTGAAAGTTGCCGCCGTGCCAAGCGGCGGCTTGTCTCTCGCTCTGATAAATTAGCGACTGCTTCAAGGCGTGAAAGTATGCGCCCACTATTTGTCACACATACACACACTTCAAAGCATACACTCACCCACACACTCACACACACACACACACAGACTTATGCGCGTTAAGCACGCCTGGTTTCCGCCATAATGAACTTCCGGCCGTTTGCGCACGTCGCGTAATTTTGTGCGTTTGTTCAGTTCTGGCCACGGCCCAGCTGGCTGGCCGTGATTTATGCACATTGATGACGTCGCGAAATAAAATCAGCGTTCTGTGCGAAAAACTTTTTCCATACTCTCGCCAAAGTCTTACAAGTTTGTCGTGACGCGCGCAAACTTTTCGGGTTATTAAATACGCATGAGGTCTGTTGCGAGTTTCGGAATTTTAAGAACTTTAATTTATTGATTTCAAGTGACTATAGAAACCGTCTTTTAATTATTGATATACATATTTACATACCTTATTTACTCACATACATACACGTATATACATAGTTCAATATACTTTTTATCTTCTTATGTAATCAGAGAGTTCGCCCTATTCCTTAGTTTGGGAGCTTGGGAAAACATTTGAATATTTTAAGTCCGAGCTAACTTTTGCTTTTTTCAGATAACTATTAATTCTAATCTTTTCTTTTAATCCACATCAACAACTTAATTTTGAAGCTCCATGTTATTTTATAGAAATTCATGTAATTCTTTGCCATATGCCACTACTCAATGATCTCTTTAGGATCTGAAGTAAAGCAACAATTAAAGAATAAAAAAATAAAATTGCTTAGCAAATTACTGAAACATATTTTTGTAACTTCAGCTAAATGAGTGTAATTTGATTTTAAATAAGCTATAAGCTTTACATTTTTGCAATCATAGCTTCGATAAAAAAGAACATTTGATAAAACAATGTTGCTTGTATTTATTTAAACATCCAATTATTTAAAATAAATAAAAGTACCAGCAGAAGCAGTATTTTTGAAAAACATTTGCTCACTATTTAACAAACTGTGCAACACTCTTAAAATTTGATTCATTTGGAGAAATATAACGGCACATTTACCATAAAGCAGCAGTCTTGATCCATTTCTTAAAAATATTCTTAAATTCATTTAAAAGAAGCGCCTATTAAGTGTGTTGGACAATGCTTTAATTTACGGAACACAAATATCATGATTCATTGTTTTCAAACACAAATAGTGTTTTCCAACACTATTACAAATGAGTCACAAAATTGTATAGCACTGTAACATTTGAAAGCACTCCACCTAAGAGAATTCAGGTAACCCACGCAGTTTAATTTGTTTATAAAGCATTTTAATTGCGAATGATTCATATCCAACAATGTCTGTCAGTGCGTTTTTCTGATGTTGTATCTCAGCAAAGTGCATTGCATAAGTCTCTTCTAAATTGGGCAACAATTCGCGGCCCACACACTTCACGACTGCTCGTCCAAAATTGTTGTTGACGAGTTGCTTTTGTGAAGAGCGCTCTCATATAACTTTATAATTCATTTTATAATTACAGCACAAGGGTATGCCATATTCGGCATATTGCAGAATAATTCACCTTTAGCTCTTGATTTTCGCTAGCTTTGCATTTTATTTGAGGCAACGTTTAATTACAATTTAAATTGGGTGCTGTGTGGTCCGATTCCAGGCGCTGGCATAGCGCTCCGCCTCAAAGAAGTTGCCCAGCGTTTGTGGCAGATATTTCCTCTCCGCCTCCTTGCCGCTAATGGGTGGTGGGGTGTAGTAGTATTTGGGACTGGGGCTCTGGCTGTTGTTGGTTTGTGTGATGCGTCGCGTTATCGCTTCCGTTGTCGAATCTCCGGTTGGGGACGTGGGCGCGGTCACCTGTGTATGCCACTCGTAGATGGGACTCTGTTGGCCCTCTTGCAGTTGCGGGGGCGCTAACTGGATGCTGGCCGTGCTGATGAAAACTTCTTGGGTGTGTGTGGCTATGCTGGCTGCCATTTTCCCCAACAACAACAAGAACAACAACAACAAAGTAGTAGAAGAAACTTTTGCGAAAATTCGTTGTCTGAGCGCGTCGAGTCTCAGTTCGCAACTGATTGTGTGACTACGGCTTTGTTGATGTCGTCGGTTTATGTTTTTTTCTCTTCAATGTTTTTTTGTTATTTCTCAGTAAACAACTCGCAACGTGCTGTGACGCATACGTTGGCAGCACGTCTGTGAGTTTGGTTTGGTTTGGTTTTGTGTGTGGGTTGTATGTGTGCTCTAGACGCGTTTTTTTTCTTCTTTTTTTGTTTTTTTTTTTTGTTTTTGCTGGCCTCTCTGCGATTGCAGGCGCGTAGTCAAATCGCTGTGGCATTTCGTTTAATGACAATTTGCAATCGAAACAGGTTTCGGGCAGCACCCGAGAGGCTCAGTCAGCCAAGTCGAAGTCGAAAACGACGACGACGACGCGCCCTCAATGCCTGCCGCAATAACCAGAGCGCCAACTACTCAGCCAGTCAGTCAGTCATTAAAGTTATTGCACTGCCCTATAAAAAAACAGGCACAGTGCATTTTTCCATGCAGTTCGTCACTATTCAGAGAGCACCTGAGAGGCTCAGTTAGCCAGAGCGCCAACGACTCAGCCAGTCAGTCAGTCATTAAAGTTATTGCACTGCCCTATAAAAAAACAGGCACAGTGCATTTTTCCATGCAGTTCGTCACTATGCTGAATGCTGTACAATAATAAAAATAACTCTTGCTAATTAATCATGTGTTTTAACGCCAAAGCGGTAACCGGTCGTTCTTACAATTTATTTCTATATTTATATTGTGGTTACCATTTTTTTTGTTCTCTCAGCAGTGACTCAAGCACTCAAGCGCATTGAACCCACAATTGATCAGCAATTTATTTTTAAATTACTATAGCTGGATTAGTGTGATCATTAATTTGATTTGAAATCATTTTAATATATTTTAGGAGTAAGAAGAGCAGAGTTTAATTTATTTGTATTTATTCTGTGCTTAAAAGAATACAACTAATTAGTTTAAAGTATATAAATTGTTGGCGTTTCAGTTAAAGAGCAATATTTTTAAATTACTATAGCTGGATTAGTGTGATCATTAATTTGATTTCAAAGCATTCATTTATTTTTTTGTATTTATATTTTTATTCAACATTTCCCTTCTGTGCCCAAAAGAATACAACTAATAAGTTAAAGTATATAAATTGTTGGTGTTTCAGTTATAGAGCAATATTTATTAGGTATTCCGATTAAATTTCGACAGCTATATACCCCTTTATGTATACTTCTAGCAAATAAATAATTACTTTTATTACTGCGTAACACTCTTTCGAAAATTACGATTGCGGTCAAATAAAAATACCTAGAATTCCACTACAGACTTATATCAACAGCATCCTCTTCTATTCCATGCTAAGTTTTGTTATATTCTATTCTATTCTATTCTATTCTATTCTATTCTATTCTAGATAGATATATAAGAATCTATTTTATTTTATTCAAATATATGCTCCAAGACTTTAAAGCATAAACCACTTTCTTTTGAAATACAAAACAATGCTCTAATTTTTCAAGAACTTTCCAGATATTTGTAGAATCTATCACAGCAAAAGTCTAGAAAATTCTAGCTGTCTTTATAAATACCCTCAAGTGTAATTGGCATGCTCAACTAGCTTATTTGTTTATTAGACTTATTGGCCTATAATTGACGATATATTTTAGAATGCATTTGATGTATTTTTTTGCACTTTTAATGCCGTTTTTCGCGACTTAGGTCGCCTGTCTTTATACCCGACTCCGCTATCGGTAGTCGTCTACTTTTATTTTTTGCTGAGCTGTGGCGATATGACTAGTTCCCCAAAATTTCCCAGTATCCCAGTATTTCCCAGCCTTCTATTGATAGAAGTAATTAAAAACTATAGCTATTCATTCATTCGTTCCAATTTAAATACACATTTAAACATACAATTTCTGCACAAAGCATTAAGTACAACTAACATATTAACAACAAGTCTTTTAAGACTTTGTTTAATTTTTGTCATTCCTAAGCAGTTCATCAATTCTATTCATTTATGAGTCTTGCTTATTTGCAACCAAAATTGCAAAAATTTGGATCTTTTAATTATTACTGACATCATAATTTGTTATCGTTTCTGCGCTCAAGGCCGCCTATATACAAATTTGTGTAAGCAAAGTCTATATACCGCTTATCTGTACGCGAGAAAAAAAAACGCACCCCACAAGCTGATAATAGGTTTGCTTTTTTTATAGACTATGTCTATCTTAAACACATATTTATGTTGAAAATTAAATAAAAAATAGACTTATATTTTGTTGATCTCTGCCGAAACTAAACAACAGCTACAAATACAGATACAAAATATTAAATTGTACAGATATTTTATAAGACAAGAAAACAGCTGGGGAAACAAAAGGATAAAAATATCGCTTGAATGTCAATTTTAAAACGAGATTTGTTGTTTGTATGTTTTTAATTTAAAAGCATTGCATAAAGTAATAGGTTCGTTTATACATTTATTTAAATTTTTTATTCACTGCTAAGCTTTCTAAGATTTCTGTAACATTCTGGAGACAATAATGAACTGAAATAATTTTCGAATTCCATCGAATTAAAGTGGTTACGATAAATAAAACCATTGTAGTCATTGAAGGTATTTCCAGACAGTTGTCGATCTACACACGACTAAAAGCGTTGCATAAAATAATAGGTTCTTTTATCTAAAGATTCTAAAGGTTTCTGTCAATAATGAAGAATCTACTTTCTAAACCGAACTTTCTTTGAAATGTTTTAAGTTCCGTCGCATAAATAAAACCATTCCAGTCATTGAAGGTATTTCCAGACACTTGTCGATCTACACATTGTAGACTATAGGTAATACCTTAGTCAGCATTGCTGGCACTTCGGCATAGAATCACGTTAATAAATAATAGGTTCTTCTATGAAAACTGCTAAGCTTCTAAAGATTTCTGTAACATTCTGGAGTCAATAGTGAACTGAACTTTCTCTGGAAAATTTTCTAATTCCATCGAATAAATAAAACCATTACAGTCATTGAAGGTATTTCCAGACACTTGTCGATCTACACATTGTAGACTGTAGGGAATGCCTTAGTCAGCATTGCTGGCACTTCGGCATAGAATCACGTTATGGGTTCTGTGCTACGCAAACAAATCGTATCTAAATGACCCAATCGTCACTCATTAAGTATTCGGCTGGTGATTCATAAGCAGCATTGATTTATGGCCCCTACGACTCTGCGGTTTTACGAAGACTGGTGGTGGTGCTGGTGGTGGGCGCAGTGGGCGTGGTGGGTGTGACAAGTAACGTCCGTTAGTTGTCTGTAAATCATCTTAGGAGCTACAATCGGATCTAGTCCAGAGCCTAACCGCAAATGACTCAAAAAACTGCACAACTGCAACTGGAATTGTCGTGCGATGCGTTTTAAAATGAAAATAAATACAAACAGTGATAATACGATATGTTTACGCATTTTGTGGAATATAATTAGACAGTATATTGACATTGATAAGCGGAATGCTTTTGAGCATGATTTATAAAGAAACAATACAGCTGTGCCTTGCAATGTTTTGTTCTGAATGCCCGACTGACTGACTGACTGACTGACTGGATGACTGACATGAGTCAATCAGTTTGTGAGTGCCGCTGGCGATTAATTTGTTTGCACACGCGCCAAAATGATTGCTCATGTGGCAAATGAATGATAAATATTTAAACATTTGCAAAATCGCAGTCGCAACAAATAAGTGCAATTTGCTAATTGTTGCAGAATGTGCTGCATAATTTGTGAATAATTGCAAAAAACTGAAATAAAAATCGATGTCAGTACAAAAGATGCCGCAATCGAAACGATTTGCGCGCGTTTTCCCCGCGATTTTTTTTTTAAAGAGAAAACTACCGCTAATTGTTAATGTTAATTGACACAAAATATGATGATGATGCATGGCCATTATTATTATTAGAATGCTGCTTTGGGGAATTGTTTACTATACGTCTTGTTAACCTTTCAAGTGTGTGTATTTGTGTGTGTGTTGTTTTTTCTAACGTTTCTAATGCAAAAGGTTAAGCACAATTGGCCCATTATATTGATTTACAGCTCATTAGAGAGTTGACAAAAGATGCCGCATAGCAATAATAATAATATATAATTTGTTCAACACATATTATAAGGGTGTGTTAGAACGGATTCGGTTGCTCCAACCTTTGTTAGACTTTTGTGCGTCACTGTGTTGTTGCCTTTGGGATAAACAAATTGAAAGAATCCAATCATTCCCAAATCATGTTAGCATTTTCAAAATCTTTAAGCACACCTTGTTTTGCTTAAAAATAACATTTGTTAGACTTTTGTGCTCCACTGCGTTGTCTCCTTTGGCGTATAAGCAATTGAAAGATGATTATTTTTATATTAAGAAATAATCCAATTATTCCCACACAATGTATGTTTGTCTATACAGCATTAGAGCACACCTTGTTTTGCTTCAAAAACAATTGCCCTAACAGCACGTAAACAAGTATTGAGATATTCACAAAACGCTGCTCAAATGGAACCGAAAATATGCAGTTAATATATAAAAATAATACCAAACAAATACAAAACTAACAACGAATAAATACTAGTAGTATAGACCAATTATATTGAAACATATAGTATACCCTGAGCATGAAAGGAAAACTCTTTACAAAGGCATTAGAACTCCACCAAGATAAACTTTTTCAGTGCGTTTCATTAGCGTTTTAATGAGCGTTTCGAAACTGCGACAATTATTATAAAAAAAAACTAACAATCCAACAAATAATAAATGCATACAAAATACAAAGAGTAAAGTTCTAATAAAACCCATAACAATGAGCACTTTCTGTGCCTATTTCTGTGAGCGGCTTCTGCGCGTTTCTTGGGCGTTTTCAAATGTGAATTGGTCATTGATGGATTTTTCATATGCAAGAGGTTATGGTTTGAATTCCAGCAATATTCCAACATTTATATTTATCGTAAATAAATCATGAATTGACATCCAAAGTAGAAAAAGAGTATACCCGATAGTAAAACAATATATGAAATAGAAGAAATGTGATTTTCTAAGTTTTCAAATGCATAGTTAGATTTATTTATTAAATATTCCTCCTTTGCGAAAATAAATTTCAAAAATTGATTAAATCCAACAAATATTAAGTGTATTAAAAGAAAGAAAGAGTACAATTTCTAATAAAAATCCAAAAAAAATGAGCGCTTTCTGTGCCTTTCTCTGTAAGCGGTTTGTGCGCGTTTTCAGGGCGTATTTAAATGTGACTTGAATATTCGCTACAAAATATAAATTTTTTTATACAAAAGAGGACGTGCTTTGAGTTCCAGCAGTAAAAACGTACTCAATTTAATATTCTACTATAAATATTTATCGTAAATAAGTCATGAATTGACATCCAAAGCAGAAAAAGAAATAGTTAGGCAATACTATATATCAACTAGAAGAAAGGCACTTCTCTAAATTATAGTTAAGCAGTACGATGTATCTACTGAAAGAAAGGTACTTCTCTAAGTTATCAAATAGTTCCATTTATTTATTATATATTCCTCCATTGATTTAAATATAGCTAATTAATGTATTTTTGCGCATTTTCTCTTTCTTATTTGCAGACACGCACACAGACAATTCGACCACCACGAAAACGCCATTATTTCCAAAAGATTTATTCACGAAAGAACAGCTCGAGAACGGCGCTGTCATCCTGCACATCATCGGAGTTATATATATGTTTGTCGCGCTGGCAATTGTCTGCGATGAATTCTTCGTGCCTTCCCTTGACGTAATCATTGAAAAGCTCGGCATCACTGACGATGTTGCTGGCGCAACGTTCATGGCGGCGGGTGGCAGCGCCCCCGAGCTCTTCACGAGTGTTATTGGCGTTTTCGTGTCGTTCGATGATGTTGGCATTGGTACAATCGTTGGTTCCGCCGTCTTCAATATACTCTTCGTAATTGGCATGTGTGCGCTATTCTCGAAGACGGTCCTATCTCTGACCTGGTGGCCACTATTTCGCGATTGCTCATTCTATAGCATTAGCCTGCTGGTGTTGATATACTTTTTTCGCGACAATCGCATCTATTGGTGGGAGGCGCTCATACTCTTTCTCATCTATATAGCCTATGTGACCTTTATGAAGTGGAACGTGCAGGTGGAGCAGTGCGTCAAGAAGATGATTACCAAAAACAAGGTGACTCGCGTCAGAAGTACAGATCAACTTATGCCAGCAGTAAGTAGTTGGGAAGTTTTTTTGCAAACAAATCAAATCAAATTTCAAAAAAAAAAAAAAAAAAAAATCAAAACGTTTAAAGTAAAAACAATTACAAAAAACGTAAATCAAGTCAATTTGTTAAACAAACGAAAGAAAAAATGGTTGCAAACAACAAGAAATTTTAAATATTGTTTGCAAAAAACGAAAAAGATCCTTTGCCAGGATTCCAATTTTCGATTGATTTTCGTTTTTGTGTCGTTTTTCTTTAGCAAGTACCTTTCCATGCATTTGGCGTGCGCGCGCCTTAAACTAAACCTGACTAACAGCTAGCCAAACGGTCAAACGGACAGACAGCAGACAACAGACTGACAAGCAGACAAATGGACAAATGGACGGACAAACGACAAACAGGTGCTAAATACTATGACTAAGGGCCTGGGTGCTGTTTGTATTGCAATCGCTGGTGAAACTTGCATGACTAACAGCAGCCAGATCGAACATCTTCTCATCTCTTCTGATGATGATGATGATGATTATCATTAACTGACGAGCTCAGATTTTCACCTCTAAGTTGTTGTTTTTTAACTCAAAAATGCGCTTCGGCAGACGACTCGGCAGCAACTTTCGAGCAAAGCTATGGCTATTGCCATCCCTGTCTCTGTATAATTGGCGCAGGTGTTGTTTACAGGCATTCCAATAAATAAGTCATCGCTAAGTGTAGTTACAACTTGATCAAAATCAAGCTTGGTCCCATTCGTGTGGCGCTGCATTAATCACGACAATGAAATTTTCACATTTGCTGAAGGACTTGGTTGCTTCATTTAAAGAAAATGTCGAAATTTTTACGACCCCTTTGATTTATAGCACTTTTGAGTATTTATAAATTTACTGCAAAGAGAATTTTTAATACTAATGGGAAGCCAAAATATATTCCAAATGTTTTGAGTTTCTCAATTTTGCAGAAATTCAAGTGATATTAAGTAGATCTTTTATACATATTAGAGCAAACATCGAAAAAAAGGCAATGCAATATTTGTAGATGTTTTTCAATTAACAAAACTTATTTATCAGGCAAAAGGCTTTAGTAATTTTAATTCGAAAAAAACTATTTTTAAATACTGATATTTCAAAACTGTGACATTCTGTTCAAAAAGAACAAAAAATCACTAAAATCAAACATTTATCGGAGAGTTAAACTCTCTAAGGGACTGATCAGTATTCTGCTACTGATGTTATACTGTAATTGATCTTCAATTCTACAATTCTTGATTGAATATGTTCTACATTTATTTGTTCTCGTTTTAAAGGTCTTAGCTCGAAACATATTGAAATAGTTATAAATAATATCTGTCTTCGCAATTTTTCATGTAATTTCTCCTTCGACTTTTTAAGGTAATTTTACATAATTCAGTTAATAAAGAATGGTTCAACATTCTAAAGCAACTTTGGAAAAACTTAGAGAATTCGCATTTGAGTAGCTCCTCCAATATCCAAACTCTTTTACAACATATTGAAATAGTTATAAATAATATCTGTCTTCGCAATTTTTCAATGGAATTTCGCCTTGGACTTTTAAAGTCCACTTAAAATGGTTCAGTTAATAAAGAATGGTTTAACATTCTACAGCAACTTTGGAAAAACTTGGAGAATTCGCATATTCAAACTCTTTTTTTGTCTACGTAGAGGTGCTTACCTATGGACAAAGAACTCTACAAATCTATCACCATATTATTGGAAGTTTGTAAAATATTGTAGAGTTGCCAAATGAAGGAAAAATATTGTTGTTAAAGCCTCCATGACTACGACTTCGTATAAACAAATGTTATCTGGCGTTATTAGTGGACTTTTCCAAAACTCTTGCCGTACTGCAGCTGTTAACAGTTTAGTCTAAGACGCGCGCCTATGATTTCTATCAACTTTTCTTTTTAATATTATCATTTAAATTTGTTATCTAACGTCATGCTCTATGCATTTAGTTTCTCTCTCGAATTTAATCTCTAGTTACAATTTGAGTTTTTAGTATCGACTTAGTATATCATTTGTTTTCATTCAACTACAATAAATACTTTTCGGTTTGCATTGCGTTTGAGAATCTTATTTCACTCTCTACAGAAAACAAACACATCTACTAAATATATACACTCAAAACACAATCACACATACACATACATACACACACTCACATACACACGTATGCAAAACAAACTGAGCATGCAACGCCCCGCCAACTGCCAACGCACACTGCTTGCCGTTTAGATCCCACGTAGCGTTCTTTAGTTTAGACATCCACCTTTTTAGAGAGTCTGCCCTACACTGAGTGCTGTTTAGATCGGAAACAAATTTCAGAAACTATTCTATAATATTTGTTTCTATATCTAAGCACAATCTTAACTACACCAACAAAGAGCTCCACATTCGTGAGATTGTTTAATTATTTGTGAAGTTTAAAGAAACAAACGTTTCGTATTTGATGTTTTAGAAAAAGAACTGAAGCACTCCAAGATAAACCTCTAGAGAGTTAAATAATCAAAATGTCTTTGGCTGGAATGAACGAGTATATTTGTGATTAAGAAACCCCTTTTAACGATTTTTCAAAGCTATACAATAAGCAGAAGGAAAGAAATAAGTGTTAAACATGAAAACATTTGTATTTAAATCAAAGCTCGTGTTCCCATGTTTCAAATTTATATCCAACTCGAGGATAAGAACTTAAATTATATTTCGTTTTCCAATCTCTTGTGAATATTCTCGATAGCTGGCAGCGTCTTATTATGCGCCTTTTCTGAAGTTTTGATAAGAATTTGAATTATTATATTGTCGAGCGGAAGTCGTTCATGAAAAAGTTAGCAGGCAAAAAGATTAAGAACTTTTATTCCGTTTCGAATTTTCAATCTGCTGTCAATCTTTTCGATAAGCTGACCTCATGTTGCATATATTATAAAGCCAGAAGCTTACAAGGAAGGATACAAGAAGACAAGAATTTAAATTCTAATCTTCAGCAACTAATGATTAGTATGTCTAGACTAGTCGATATAGCCATGCCTGTCTGTCTGGGCGCCCATATGCTCATAAGTATGAACACTAGGATTTTGGAAAGCATAAGAGCTAGATAAGAGGTATTTACTAGTTGGTCCTATTCTTGTTAAGAGTTTTAAAAGCAAGCAATAAAATGTATTAATAATGTTTCTTGCAATAATAATTAATATTTGTGGGTATTAATTATATTGGTTCTATTTCATAATTAAAAGCATTCCCACAAATTTATTTCAATTTAATGTGAAATGTTTTTAAATTACGCTTAATTAGATTGGTTCTAATTGAACTTGCTATTGCACAATTAAAAGCTTTTCCACAATATTATTACAATTTAATGTGAAATATATTTGAAACAACGCTTGAAAACAATTCTCAAGTCTATGGGCCATTAAAAAGTGTTAAAAATTAAGAAAAATAGATATAAACAAATTATTTAAAGTATGCAGCATAAAGTTCACAAATGTTGGAATTATTTATGTACTATTGTAGGCACTGTTTCCCACACTCTAGAACTTTTTGTGCGCATGTGTAGAACGCTTTTGGTTTCATTTTCCATCTTTTCATAATAAATGACACTTTATTGTTGAAACACATACACAAAACAATCACTAAAGTATTGCATTAGTAACTAGCGGCTGCTCCTTTATCATCCCAAGACTTGTTCACCTGTATTTGTATGCACATCAGTTGTTTATTGTTGCTATATTGGCACGCATCGGTATCATAACGTGCCACATAGCAATGGGGCTTGGGCTGTTCCTTTAAATTGTTGCGCACTGTCTGTTGCTCCAGCTCCAGCTCAAGGCCAGGTTCGCGACGATTTTTTGATCGCTGCTGATACGTAAAACAGCTAATTATGAATAGCTGTAGCACCGCAAAGACGGCCAGAAAGAAGATCCCATAGAGGACCGCCCTGAAGGTGCAATTTCCTATGAGCTTGGCACCACTACCAAACCAAATGCAGGCGAAGAACAGCCAATAGATGATGAAGACGGCAATTAGAGCAAACATTTGGCTTTTGGAGAGCCGCTCGTTTCTCGAACTCTGCTTTCCCATTTCAATACAAAAGAAAACCTCGTGGCGCGTTCACTTTTCAAAACAAACTAAAATCAAGTTCTGCTCAACAATAATTTGTAGCGATACATTTTGGACGGATATGCGCGAGGCTTGTGTGATAAAATTATGAAGAGAAGAATATTATTTACTTAATATAAAGGCAGCAAAGGAAGCTCCCAACAATAATATAAGTATTCGTCCTGATGTTTTTTCTGCTGCAAAGCACTTCTCGTCATTGCGTTACAAGGAGTTTAAAAAAATATTCAATTCCTTTATGCTACACCTGCTATTATTTAAATAAATACATTTTTGACGGCCTCGCCCATATGGCTTGCGTAATAAAATACTGATGAAAATGTTATTATTTATTTAATATACTATGGCAGCAAAGGAAGCTCCTAACAGTAATATTATTATTATTCGTCCTGATGTTTTGTCTGCTGATAGGCAAGAAAGCACTTCTTGTCATTGCGTTGCAAGGAGTTTAAAGAAATATTCAATTGATAAAATAGTGATGAAAATATTATTATTTATTTAATATACTATGCCAGCAAAGGTATATTATTATTATTCGTCTTGATGTTTTGTCTGCTGGAAGGCAACAATTCAGTTATTGTTGCTGTATTGCAAGCTGTGTAACGCAGTTTTCATTTGATTTTAACTCTTAATATTAAATTCTTTTAAGCCACTCCTGCTATTTTTTGAAAGCGGAGTGAAGCAGTGTGTGTATCAATATTTTATTAAAATTATATGATTAAAAACTATTTGACAGCATATTTATTTAAAAATGTGCAAAAACTCTATTATATTCTTTTCTAATCAAACAATTTGTTTAACAAGAATAACAAGTTAGAATTGAAAAACATATTAATATCCAAGAATTTTAGGTCGAATTAATTAAAAAATTATCGTAATTACATAGCTAG